TCGTGGTCGACATACGAACGACGACCACCCTGAGTTCGGTTTAATTGAGAAGTGTCTGCGGTTAACCACAACGTTATAATGGTGATCACTTCGTTAACCTGCAGCACACTCCTCACTTGGGTGGCCGTTCGTTCGGCGGTTTTGTTCGGGAAAAAGAGTCATTCGAATGGCTGGGCTATAGAAACCAGCCATTCATACGAACGGGGACAAACAGACGAACGGGCAAAAATCCAGCAGACAGATGGTTCTGTCACATCCCAGTACAGTCTTTGTCTCTCCAGGTATAATATTCCAGTACAGTCTGTGTCTCTCCAGGTATAATATCACAGTACGGGCTCTATGATTTTCACATTTTCGATTGTATTTTTTGTATCTGAGCAACTATCTTTTTTCAGATAAGGATATCTTAAGAACCGTTCACTCATTAACTCTGTAACAAGGTGTGGCTTTTAGAAAGGGAGTGTAATCAACAGTTTCACATTCTTTTAGTAAATAATTTCTATGAAGTGATATCTGATCCCCTGCAGACCAGGCTCTGTCATTTAATTTATATCCGGGGTATTTCCTGCAGTTTTACATTTAGAATCATTTATAAAGATCAAAGTGTATGTTTTATCAGGTGTAAAAATAACTGTCTTCCCCTTCTTTTATTTAAAATTTGTTTTTTTTTGAGCCACCAGCATGTTTTCCACCTGGAATGTGGACATCTGAGATGCCACAAATAGCATGAAAGTGGCAAAGTATTGCTGGGATTCTGGACTGTCACTGCACCCACACTAGTTAATTTATAGTAATGTATGTTTTAGAGCCTGTTAAACGTGTTACCTGTGCGTATGTGTGTGTTCCAGTATTTCTCGTTTTCTGTGCTGATTTAACATTATTGTCAAACATCAGAAATAAGACCACTTTGTTGGTGGTTTCCCATAAAAATTCTTAATCTCAGGTTACAGTTTACATTAAAGGAATTTGAAACAATACTTTTATGGGTGTCATTTTTTTATTTTTATTTTTTAACCCCTTAAAGACAGTTTCAGAAATAAAATGGAATCATGACGGAATATTTCCGTCATGCGTCCTTAAGGGGTTAAATAAGAATTCATAAAACCACATCTTTCAGGAAACATGTAAACAAATCTTCCACTTATCAAATCAGTAATCCTAGAATACGCAATGGATATTCACACTATAAATGGTGACAATACAGAGACACCGCAGAAGAAGAGAGACTGACTTCCCGCTGTGTGGCGGTTATCCCAGTCGTCTCCTTCTGCTCGTTTCAGTGTTAATATGCTGGGGCATAGTTACTGAAATAACCAAACATGGAGGTGTGCCTATTGCACTTAAAGGGTAAGCTTGGCCTTGGACTTGACTAACAAGGGTTAGTTACGTGGTGGCTAGTTTCATTGAAAAAGTTAAAATAAATGATAAAAAAAAAAAACACATAAAAAAAAACAAAAAACAATAGGGGTCACTAAGACCCCCCATGTTACAATAATAATGGAGGTAATGCAGTAAGGGGAATATCTACTGAATAATTAAAACTAATGACTGGGCAACCATTGCTACCCGTTTGCTAGAAAGGCTCTGTGACAGTGATCTGTCTAACCCCCTGTGACGAGACCAATCTCGCCACTGTGGAGGATCCTGGTTGCCCGCCTGCTGCCTTTAGACTATGGCCCCATGATGAAACGCTTGATTTTTCTTAGTGCCATTCAGTAATAATGTGTGCTCAGACCTAAGCTATCTGGGCATATGTTGCATGTCTGTATTTTATGTAATAAATGTAACCTTGTGTATTTTATGTATTTTATTGTCTTTTGCTGCCATGTGTTCAATGGATGGAGTTTTGCCTCTGTCCTTGGAGATAATTGGATTGCTTCCCAATTATCTCCAGGATAGAAGACTCTGTGGAACTGGTTTTGGGCAGAAAAGCCATGCTTCATTTGGTCACAAAGGACTACGATCTATCTTTTGAACCACTGGACCAATTTGGATGATTTTGACATATGTTTGTATAATATATAATATATATATATATATATATATATATATATATATATATATATATATATATATATATATATATATATATATATATATATATATATATATA